ACAAGATAATAGAGAAAAGTGGACTCTGAATTGGGAAAGACCATATGTTGTAAAACGAGCTTTCTCAGGTAAAGCATTGATATTAGTCGAGATGGATGGAGATAATCCGCCTTATCCTATAAATTCTGATGCTGTGAAAAAATACTATGCTTAAAAAAATAAAAAAATAAAAAAGAATGACTCAAATAAAAAATCTAAAAGGGTAGTTTGAGTCAAAATGAGGTTTATCTAAGTTGAAAACCTGAAAATGTGACTTAGATAAGGAGAATACAACATCAAATTTGAAAATTCACCAGCATAAAGGGTAGTATGTTTTGATGAGCTCTAAGTTGTTAAGTGCATCATATGGTTGAGTTTTTCAAAAAAGACTTCAAGATATGTTATCATGATTGTCTGATTATTTATTTTGGGCATTGTCTCCCTATACCCATCATTATAATTCTTTCCTTTTCACACTAGCCAAAGTTATGCTATCATTTTTGCTAATAAAAGCTATTCCACTTTATTCTTTGTGTCTCTTATGTTGATTATTTCTTATTTATTTCCCAGCTATTCTTACTCTTTTCTCTTTAATACCTTGCAATGAAAGAAATGTGTGACTACATTCTTACTTTTTTAAATTAAAATAATGATTGATAAATGAATAATAGCATGAAAGATTTTTATATTACCTTGAAAAGGTTATGAGTGAAAAAGCAAATATGAAATGTTCAATTCCTGATAAAGACATTGAATTTGGAAAAAGATCTCTTGAAACAAAAAAATAAGAGTTAAATGAAAAGGATGACTAAAAATTACATAAATTTGGTATTAGTACCTAAAGAATGAAAGGTTCAGGGCATAAGAAAAAAGCTTAAGAAACTTGAGTTCCACAATTGAAGAGAAATTAATCAACATTTGCATAGCATGCATTACACTTCTAAATGTCTGGTGCATAGCATACACTGCATTTGAAAGGGTCTAGTGTATAAATTTAGGTTGTAGGGATATTTCAAGATCTCATATGGAAAAGACAAATAGGAAGACTTTTTTATGAAAGAGTTTCAAATTCTCATTTGAGAAGAAACTTATAAGATTTTAATCTTTGGAGGAGGATATTTCTCAATATTAGGAATGATTTGTAAGACCTTTAGGTATAATGTCTTAAAATTTCTTCAGACATGATCTATGACTCTGTTGGACATGATTAACAAGGAGCTTTATTTATTTTTCAAAGTTGTTGAGCCTCTGTTTAGAAGACCTTTATTTATTTTCTAAAGTTGTTAAGCCTCTGTTTAGAGAAGCTTTGTTTATTTTTCAAAAGTTGTTAAGCTTCTGATTAGAGGAGCCTTATTTATTTTTCAAAGTTGTTGAGCCTCTGTTTAGAGAAGCTTTTTTATTTTCCAAAAGTCTTTAAGCTTTTATTTAGAGGAGCTTTGTTTATTTTTTAAAGTCATTAAGAGCATTGTTTATTTTTTCAAAGTTGTTGAGCTTCTATTTAAAGGAGTATTATTTATTTTTTCAAAGTCATTGAGCCTCTGGTTAAAAGAACTCTATTTACTTTTTCAAAGTTGTAGAGCCTTTGTTTAGAGGAGTTTTTATGTTATTCAAAGAGTTTAAATAAAAAAAAATGTGTGGAGTTGATTAGGTTATCTACATTTTTGCATAATTTTTGTTTCACAAAAAATATGCAAAGAGTGACAACTGTAGACACCCTAATCTATCTGAGGTTCTACTCAAGTTAATTCTGTTAATAGAAAATAAAAAATAAAAATAATAAAAAAAGGTGTTGAGTTGGTGTGAAATTGTGTAAAGAGTTTAAGTTGAACTAAAATTTGAAGTTAAAACTCAGAAGGGATTGAAATCCTTTCTGGTTTAGGGTTTTCAAATTTGAAACCATATAAATACAACCCTAGATCACACAAAAAACACAATAAAAAATTTTAAAAAATAGAAGCAGAAAAATTAGGAAAAGCACATGCAAAAAGGGCATTCAAAGTTTGTAGAGAAATTTTTTGGGTTAAAATTTTTTTCTGGAAATTTTCTAGAAATTTTTAGATTTCGATTGAATTTTTTGATGAAATTTGAATTTTTCAATGACCTTCTAACGAGATTTTTAGTTTCCAACAAGATCTCTAGTTTTTGACGTCACATTTCCAAAAATCGATGAACTTTTTGGTGAACATCCGATGAATAACCTGATTCTAGCAAGATTTTTCAGAATCCAGTAAAATTAAACCAGCATTCTTGAGGGGTTTAAAGAGAGAGGGAGAGAAAAAGGGAAAAACAGAGAGAAAAAAAGGAAAAATCCAGAAACCAACCTTTTATAGCATTTTCAAAATGATGTCGTCTTGATATTAAAAGACCTATCAGGATTCACCCGTTTTCGTTCGGGTGACCTGACCTATAGTGCTGACCCACATTTGACCCATGTACCCACCGATCCTTTGAGCCGAGCCTAGCCACCAAGCCACATCTCCAGAGCCACTTTCTATGCTTGGAGCCGAGCCACCAAGCCAAGCCATTTCCCTATTTTGGAATTTTTATCATTTTTTAATTTATTTAATTTATTTTTTAAGTATGTTTGCATGAATAAATTTAGAAAAAATAAAAAATATTAAAAAATAAATATTTTTTGAGAATAAGTATTAATTATCTAATGATGAAATTTATAAAAATTTTAAATGATAAATTTTTATAAAATTCCTAGGGGAGAAATTTCGTCTAAATTTATCCCAAATTGTGAAAAAATTTAGATAAAATTTCAATAACAATTAATAATTATCTTCAATCAAAAAAAGAAAAAATAAAAAAATACAAATTTGGAAAAATACAAATTACTCAAGGATGAGATTCTTAAAAATTTCAAATGATAAATTTTTAAGAAATCTCTAGGTGAGAAATTTCTCTAAATTTGTCTCAAATTGTGGAATAATTTAAATGCAATTTCAATAAAAGTAATTGTATTTTTTCCAAATAAAAAATTTTGGTTGAAAATATTTGATAATTATCCAATGATGAGATTCTTAGAAATTTCAAATGGTAAATTTTCTAAGAAATTTCTTTAAATTTGTCCCAAATTGTGGAAGAATTTAAATGAAATTTCAAGAAAAATAATTATCATATTATTTTCTTTTCCCAAAAAAAAAGAAAAAGAAATAAAAAGAATTTCTAAATAGACCCAAATGGTAAAAATTTAGAAATTTAAAAAGAAAAAATATTTCTAATTTAGCCCAAATAGTAGAATAATTAAATATATTTTCAACAAAAACCAATAAAAATAAAAAATAAAAAAATAATTAATTAAATTTTTTTTTATGACAGAGTCTCTTCAAGAAAATAAATGGGATTCTTAAATATTCTTGAGGTGAGGAAATATTTTTAAGAGTTTTACCAGATTGATGGAGAATCTTAAGAATTATTTCCAATATTCAACTTAAAATTTAAAACCTTTAGAATCAAGACCTTATGATAAATTTAAAATAAAATGGTACCAATCTTTCGGATAGGCATATGAGGGTGCTATAACCTTTCTCATATATAACCAAACTCCCGAACCCTATTCTGGTTTATAGACCCGAATCTATTCTTTTATGAACCTTTAGTCAAGCTTAGGAATTCTTTAAAATGATAGATTCCTTAGGTGACCAATTACACCTAGTAAAAAAAGATTGGTGACAACTCTTTCAGTTAAGTCTAGCTATAGGTTTTCAGATCTATATGTTATGATAATGAAATTAAGCTATAAACTTTCATTATAATTAAAATATCGATATATATTATGAAATGTGAAATATTTGCCTAAATTTGTTTAGGTAAGCTAAATGGCAAATACTCATAGTAATCTTATTTTAGTAATTTTGACAATTGGATAATATTCTTCTATTTTTAAATTTAAATGGTGTAATAGCAATAATAAAAGTTCATAGTAATTTAATTCCATACAATAAAAATATTAAATGCCTATTTTTATTTTCTTTATAAAGTTCAAGGACTTATTTGAGAATTATCTCAATATATTTTAATATAGATAACATAAATAATAAAATAATTTATTATGTTATATTTCACAAACATTGATGATCAAATTATTATAAATTCATGTTGACAATAAAATCAAAATATTAATAAATTTTTTAAGCATTATTGATCAAATTATAAAATTTTCAAAGTTGAGTGACTAGAAAAGAAATTCTTTGAAAGGCTAAGTGACCAAAAGTTTGATTTATCTTTATATTTAATTTCAAGTTTTTATTTTTTTTCTAAGATTTATAATTCCATGTGACATGTCAAATTACGTGGTAATATCAATTTACATGGCAAAGTCATATGATGTCTGACAGATAATATGACATTGCCAGGTCAGATGGCTTAGAGATTAACAATTGGATGACCAAAAAAGACAATATCATAAATGTTAGTGATCAAATCATAAGTTTTTACACTTGAGTGACTAAAATAAAATTTGCCTAAAGTTAAGTGACTAAACATGTAATTTACCCTAATAAAAAAGAAACATAAAGACTCGATGTCTATGAGTATGAGAAGAAACATGCATGTTTTAATTTATAGTATTGCTAAAGTTTATTTTAAGGTATCACACATGTATGTTTTAATTTATAGTATTGCTAAAGTTTATTTTAAGGTATCCACATGTTTTAATCATATAGTGAAGAAAAAAAGAATAAATAGTGAGGGAAAAACATAAGAGCTTATTGAAACATACAATTGTTCTAATTTGGGACAAGTTACCCAATGTGGATGGTAAAGGGCAGAGAAGTTGTTCTCAAATGACCTAAAAAGGAAACATAAAGACATGAATATTTTATTTCTTAAACTTTTTTTGTTAATGCATAGGATATGATTATGTCTTTCACTATTTTTGCTTTCCATGAGTATCAAATACAGTATCAGTTCACTGAAAATCTTTTTTCTTTCATTTCGTTGTTTTTAAATGATTGAAGAGAAATTAAAATCTATTCAGAGAAAAATTAATTTTCCTTCTTATAAACAGGGTCGGAAGCCTTAAAATGAGGACTACTTAGTACTCACAGCGCTCTCAATTCAGTAAGCTTTCCAAGTTCCTTAGGAAGTTCCCCTGAGAATGCATTGGCATTCAGAAATCTGAAAATGTTTCCAATTTAAAATGTTACGATAATATATGAAACTATTCTTAATTAATATTTGCACTAAAGTATGAAATATGCAACTCAATGGGCTTACAAGTACTGCAAGCTAGTTAGGTTACTTATTTTTGGTGGAATAGAACCTGTCAAGTGGTTTAGCCCCAAATTCCTGTATTAAAAATAAAAAACATTGGTTAAGGTAATAGTTAAGGGAAAAAAGTTTGTAATCAATGTGTTGTAACCTCTTGAATTTGATAAAAATATTGCGTTAAAAGGAAAAACTTTCCCTGAAATAGTATTTTAACTATCCTTAACCGGTGCCTATAAATCTTACAAGATAACGAGGAAAGTCAAGCTCCAAATCTCTTCTGGGAAGTTACCGACGACATTCCTTGCATACACTTTCCTGTAGTAAAAATTCAAAGTAAATCTATAGCTCAAACAGATATATTCTTCTTATTGTCATTTGTTAGAATTTACATGTAAAAGGTACACCATTTCTTAATTTAAGGTCTCTTAATTATCCCTTTTGCAGCATGGTTGTAAAGCACATCCTTAATGTTGGAATCTTTAGAACTCACTTTTTCGTTATTCTTAACCTGTCTTGCTTATTTATCATTCTTGAATTTCAACTTCCTTTTTACACTTGAATTCTCCCATAAAAGAATCATTAATCGATTCCCCCATACATGCTTTGCGTCTTTTGTGTAAAAATGATTGCGCTCTAAATCGGGTTAAGAACGAAAATTATAAATGTTTTGCATTTGAAATATTGTGATTAGATAAAAGATTCTATGAAACTGTGTGTTAATTGGGCGGGTGGGGATGGGTTTGAGCAGACCACTTTAGTTTGAGTTATTTTGGGTTTTAAAAAATCAGATCAATTTTGAGTTGGATCATTTGGTTTCAAGTTATTTTAGGTTTGAGTATTTTGGATTTCACATTCAAGTTATTTGAATTCAAATAATTTTGGGTTTAATTTATTAATTTTTAAAATAAAATTAGATTAAATTTAAATAAATTATTTGATCCAGTTCAAATTAAATTTTATTATAATTTTATGAAAAGATGAAAGCAAAAAAAAAATAATAGTTTAAAAATAAATATAAATATTATAATATGTATGCTTTAAGTTGAAGTTAATTTTTATATAAATAAAAAATATATGATTTGATTAGACTCGACAAATTTAAACATAATATAATAACATGATTCCCAAATGATACAAAAAAATTTGTATGGATTTTAAAAAAATGTATTTCATATTTACCCATATTGACACAAATTTTGACTCACGTAAAATACCAAAAATCAGTTTAATTAATCATGTCATATGAGTACACGTATTAGATACATAAAATATGTTTGTCAATTTATAATTTTTAATAATTTTTATATTTATTTTAATTTAATATAAATATTTAAAGAGTATTTTAAACTTTTAATTGTAACACACAATTGCATATTTAATACAATCACATAAAAATTACTTTAAATATTTATTTATGTTACACATTTAATATGCAATTATTTTATATTAATAATATAACTACAATATAAATAACCATTCCAATATAATTGCAACTCATTATTTAGTGGCTTATATTTTCGATTTTAGTATAATTGTAGCTAATTATATAATTTATTTCTAACTTACATAATTAAAAATTAATAATATAAACATAACATATATACACAAATCAATACTTGTTTTATATGTTTATTTTAAATCACATGATAGTTGATAGTATGTAAATTATACGAAATTATATAATTTATTATAAATGATACATTGATATGTGGGTATAGACATGACAATTAAAAATAATTATAATTTTATTTTAATCATCTAATAAATTATACAAAATTTTATAACTAACATATATATAATTATACTATTTGATGTAAAAAATATATATTAATTTGATACTTTTAATAATTTTAATGAGTTATCATTTGTGTTAGATTTATTATTTTTATTTGTGTTATATTTATTATTTTTATTAAATTAATGTTTTTAAAAAATTATACCTCGGATTATTTCAAATTAATTTTTAAGTCATTTCGATTTTGGATTATTTTGAATTTTGACTATTTCAATTTCAAATACTTTTTACTTTGGGTTAAGATCAATTTGAGTTTGAATTATTTTCAATGTCAAGCTGGGTGGATTTGAGTTGTTGACTTTTATGATCAAATCAAACATGTTCAAGTTAATTAGGCTGATTTTTCGAGTTCGGAACAAAATGAACAAATCTATATGAAATTGTTAAAACTACATCAACTTATACATCATTCCATTCATTTAATGCCATTTCATTCTTTTTCCCTGCATCATTCTGTACATCACTAAGTTTTCCAAAAACTTTTAGTCCTGCAACTTATTTATTTTGTTTTGTTAAAACAAGCACTGCACTAACTACTCTCATCTCTTATTTGTTTTTAGTTATGAAAGTTCCAACAGAAACTTCTCCATCCATAAACCTCAACACATTATTTTTATCGAAAGTTAGATTTTGATATGATGGAGCACCGATCATCACCCCTTCAACTGCAGTTTTATTTTTTATTTTTTTAATTTTGTTTAGTTGAAACACTTACCACTGACTATCTCAGATTTGTTTCCACCCATCAACGAGAAGCTTTTACTTTTCACTTGTCATTTTAGTAAAAAGACAATGTATCAATTCCGTTAGTTCTGTGAGGCAAAAAACAAATTTGTGTTAGAACTTCAATTTATTTGAGAATCTAATAGATTTTAAAAGAGGAATTTTTCGAAACTTTTAGCTAAGATGATTGAGTCTGAAGATAAAAGATTATCATCAAAATATAGTAGATAAAGCGCTAGTGTTGGAGTTAAGGTAAGAAGTTTTGGAGGAAATTTCGATATATAAGTGATGAGTCAAATTTATAAATATTTAATTTTATCTGAATTGATTCTAATCCGTTCAATTTTTAAATTTGATCTCATCATTTTGATTTGGATTAAATTTGATTGGGTTAATCTGGGACAATTACTTTTGGATCTTTTTACATGGGTTAAAGCCCAATCCAATTTCATTTGGGTTAAGGCTCAATTCAAGTTGAATTATGGGAGCTTGAAGGCCCAATGAAAATTCAAAGCTAATAATGAGGCCCATGTCCATTTTGTCAAATTTTAAATTTATTTAAAAAATATATACAATTTTTTTTGTGATTGTTAGTGACCTTCCTCTCATTTAAAAAAATATTCAGTAAAATATGATTTTGAAAACTTTACCTAGATATTGGAAAGGATTCAACATATGATTTTTACCAAAAATATTATTTTTATTTGAGAGAAATATTATAAGATTCTTTTTAACTAAATGGTCAATTTTCTTAAATTCCACTAGATATTGGGGAATTGAGGGTATTTTTCAACATTAAAGATTTTTATTTATTTCTAAACATTTTGTTAGAGAAATAATGATAAAAATTAGAAAAAAAAAAAGATTTGACAAGAATGGAATAAATTGATCATGGGTGTTATTTGATTTTCATTTGTATAATCTATTTTATATTATATCATATGTATGGTATTAGGTGATAATAAAATTGAAATAAATTTTTTTTTAAAAATTAATTTTAGAAACCAATAAATTAATATTTTTAAGTAAAAATAATTTTTGGGATTCCTACTTAAATATTAGAGGGATTCTCAATAATTATTTTTTATAAAAGAATATTACACCACATTTTAAAAATTATTATGAGAATCTTAAATAAAAAAATATTTTTTAAAATTTTACCTAAATATCAAGGAATTTAGAAAATGTTTCGAAACTAAAAATTTTCATTTTATTCTTAAATAAAAGGTTTTAAAAAGATTTTTGTAAAAATTTAAAAAATTAAGGAAATTTTTTAAATATTAGAGTTAAGATCATTTTTATCAAAGCAAAAAAATAATATATGATCAGTTAGTATTATTTTTAAAATGGGCATTGTGAAAATGATAATTCTTTCTTACGTGTAATTATACTCCTAAATCTAACTTTATTTTTTGTATACTAAAAATTATTTTTTAATAAGTTTGAAGTAACTTTAAGATTTTATTAAAAAAATAAATTTTTTAAATGATCAATCACACTTAATCAAAAATATTGATAACACTCTTTCAATTTTGATTTGATATGCAAAACTATTATTACAAAATTAGACGAAAAAAATGATAAAATAGCATCAAATGAATGGAGTGAAATATAAGCTGATGTAACGCAACAGTTTTATAAAAAAATTTTCTCATTGCGAGCATTTGAAAATGAAATTGGTATTGAAAATTATTTTTATGTTCTGGGGACGCTGTAAAGTGGACTCGCATCTCAAAGGATTAAACTGATGGCTTAGACACTGGATCTAGCTAGACCATTAAGTTACGGATTGTTATTGTGGATTGTAGATTGTGAATTATGAATTGTGAACATAAAGTAATGTTTATTGTGAAATGCGTATAAATTGTAATATTTGGATTGTGGTTTATTAAATTGAAACTTGTGATTCAATGTATTTTTTAATGTGCTTGATCCCGTTAATTAGTTTCTTTAGTTTTTGAGCTCAATATGTTGGGTTTGTTCTTATCTAGTATTTTACTTAATCTTTTATTAACAATTAAATCCTATATGATATAAGTGAATATTATTATAACACTTTATTAATTAGTAAATTTAAAAATTTGAAAGCCCTTCAAAACAAATATTGATAAAATGTGTTTATTTGGATAAAAGAAATTGTATTAGAATTTCATTTTCGACATTCTCTTTAGTAAATTCATTCTCTTTAGTAAATTCCCTTATGGAAAGAAAAATATTTCTTACAGTTTCCTATGAACCAAACACCTTTATATATATATATATATATATATATATATATCGGACTTCCACAAAAGAGAATTTTTTTAATATTTCTGACTAAGGCTCATTTTTAAACTCCACCATTGATAAAAATGGATCACTAAAACTCAAATAATGACAACTTTTATGGAACCAGAGTCATATTATAACCTTGATCACGTAGATAAGGTTAATAGACCTAAAAAGCCATTTATTAAAAAAAAGAAATGAGAAAGAGAGACATACAATTGGTTGATGTGGCAAGTGGAGCTACTATTGTAAGAACAGTCACATTTTATCCCTGTATTCAAGGTGTCAATAGAGGTAGTAGAATCAATGGCAGCTCCACTGCATGGCTCTCCGCTTATATTCCATAATTTGTTTTCAAAAGTAATCCCCCATTTAAGGAAAAGTGAATTCAAAGCTCGAACTGCAGTCAATTGAAAGGTGTCAATTAAAATTAGCAAAAAGAAGGCAGAACTTACAAATCCTGATCTCCGGGAAACTTGGGTTTTTTTTTTTTTTTTTAAGTGAAACAAACAGCTTTATTCATAGTACAGAGAGTAACATTTATAGCCAAGCTACAAAATCACAGGATCTATGAACCCCCAACCAAGAGAGTTACACTTATAGCCAAGCTACAAACTTGGGTTACTTTGTAGGGGATTATTTCTTTTGGATTGGGATTTCCCGTTTTTTTTTTTTGGACTCTAGCCTCCATTGTATTGAGATTTCTCATCTCTTGGAAACTTGGGTTTATAAAATCTTTCATTTTACCTTTCAAAAGAACAGTTATTATTCCTACATGTATAAAGTTGAACATATATTCCCTTATCAGATTTCCGACCAAAATGGTATTGCTCATTCAAAACATACACACACATACTTATATATATATATATATATATATCTAGAGAGAGAGAGAGAGAGAGAGAGAGGAGTGCACCTTCATCAGGATCTGTAGTTGCTGGAGTTCCTTTCTGAGTTTGAACGGTCGCAACAAGCAAAGTACATATCCAAACAACATATAGAAGAAAACATTGCTTTCTCGGGTATACTCTCATTTTTTTTCTCTATTAAACTTGCATGGATTTACATTTGGATACCTTGCCAAAGAAGTGATATATAGATTCATAAGAGTACCAAGAGCTCTTCAATGGCCTTGAGACTCGAATCTCTTTATTTATATGGGTGAGTTAAATGGTGTGTTTGCTACAACGAAAAAGTAAAAGAATAGATAGGGGAGAATGAAAAAATAAAAAGAAAATGATTTTTGTGTATTTTTGGTAAGAAAGAAAAATAAAAAAAAATAAAATTGAAAAGATTACCATTTTTCATTCTTATTCACAAAAACAAACTTTTTTTTTTCCTCCACACAAGTCACGTCATGTGGACCAACATTTTCTAAAAGTATTTTTTGGGCCAAAACATTTTCTAAGTCGGCATTTAATGCTTTGTACTAGTTTCGTTGAAATGAAATGGAAAACGATACACGTCGTCCTTGAGAAAGTTCTCAGGTCATGTTTCTCGGAAGTATACATAAGAAAACGATTAAATGAGAAGAAATGAGCATGTAAACAAAATCTTTTGTGCTCTTTGTAAAAAATAAATAAATAATTTATTTGTCTATCTCAAGCGATAAACGGAGTTTAATTTGAATAAATATTAATGCTTAGAATGATTTTTAAATTATAATAAAATATTTATATAATATATAAAATTTTAAAATTTTTAATATAATATTTAAATTATAAAATTATTAATTAATAAATATTTATATCTAACATAATTAACTCCAAATTATAATACATTAATATACAAATGACCTTTTAAAATAAAATATTTGTTAAAAAAAAGTTATAGGCACTCCGGTAATCATTAAATTTGTATGTAATTCAATTTTGATATTTAATTTAAGAAGTTTTCAAATCGATCCCTAATTATCTAAATTTATTTTATTTTATCATTCATCTTGGCTCTAATTGATGGTAAATTAGTAAATACTAAATTGACATTATACGATGATGTCAATTAGCATTTCACATGACAAATGAATGATTAAAATAGAATTTTTTCAAAGTTTAAGGATCAAAGATAAAAGTATCTTAAAATTTTATATATTTCTTATTATATTTTATAAAATATTAAATTTAAAATTACATTTTTTATTTTTTGTTGTAATATTTTTTAATAGAAAATATTTTTTAAAAAAATTAAAATTAAGTTAAAATTTCAAATTTTTTTTTAACAAAAAATAATTTTCTATTTAAAATATTATTTTACTTATAAATCATTATAAAAATATTATTTTCTATCCATAAAATATATTTTAAAATATTAAATATCTTTTATTTTCCTTTTTCAAATATATTTTATTAAAAATAAATAAAGGAAAGCATAAAAATAATTCAAGAAAATTTATTTTTATATTTTTCAAATATATTTTATAAAATATTATAATTTAAAATATTTTTATTTTTTATTATGATATGATTTATCAATAAAATAATATTTTAATAGAAAATAGATTTTTTAAAAATTAAAATTAAGTTGAAAATTTCAAAATAATTTTGTTAAAATTACATATCATTTTAAAAAATTAAGTAAAAATATTTATATCGGTTTAATAAATTAAATAAAAACTCTATATCATATTAAAATATTATGTAGAAATTTTTAGGTCATTTTCAAAAATAGATTTTAATAATCTATTCAAAAATATAAACAATTTTATATTCATATAAAATAAAATTATAATTTAAAATATTTTTCTTTTTTCTTTTTTATATAACATATTTTATAAAATATATTTAAAAAGAAAAAATAAAAGATATTTAATATTTAAAAAAAGTTTGGATAGAAAATAATATATTTTGTTATGACTTATGAGTAAAATAATATTTTTAATAAATTTTTTGTTTTTAAAATGTATTAAATTAAAAAAATGAAAATTTTAAATTAATTTTAAGTTTTTACTGTCTATTTTGTATTTAAAACAAAAATCTATCTAATAAGTTATATTATAACAAAAAAAAATATAATTTTAAATTTAATATTTTTATAAGATGTGAATAAAGTATATAAAATTTTAAGATAATTTCATTTTTTATCTTTAAAATTTGAGAGAATTTTATTTTGATCTTTTATCTGTCAACTAAGATATTAGTTGATGCCATCAGGTGATGTCAATTAATATTTGCTGTTAATTTAAATGATTTTATAGATAAAATGATTAAAATAAGATAACTTTAAGTAATTAAGGATTTGATTAAAGTTTTTAAAAATTTAGATCAAAATTTAGAAATTATAAGTGTTATTAACTTTTAAATAAATAAGATAAGAAACTTTGGATCAAATAAAAAATAATATAATACTTAGTAGTAAATTTTTAAATTATATTATTTTTTTTATATTTTTCCTATTTCTATGTGATGTTCTAAATTATCATAATCCACTCTCCTCTATTTTACCTTTCTATGCCTCTGCCGTTTCCCGGACGACAGGTCAGCACCGCATCCATAAACGGAAAATTAAATAATAAAAAAATTTTCTACCTCTACTCTCTCCCACTAAGCTCTTATTTATTATTTGCAGGGGACCATCCTTTCCTTCTAGCAGGACAGTTGCCGCAAACACCGAACAGGACCTTCTCTTTCGTGGCCCCCACTCATTTTCTTTTTTATTTCTTTTTTAATTTTAATTTATCTATCATTCTGGCCCCTAAGCTTACTTGGGATCATGTGCACTTTGCATTGATTAAGGCTCCATTTGCAATGCGGACCTTAAGTAACGGTGCAATTATTATAAAAAAATATGTCACTAGCAGAGTTTCGATAATCAAATATTATTATGATGCGTTGACATTTTGTGTCAATCAATCACTGTAGTTGAAGGTTTCATTGCTTCAATCGTAATTTTTTTTTTATTTTATCTCTTTAAGTTTACAAATTTAAACTTTTTGCTATTTTTTATTTTTTCCTCATATTTTGAGTTTTTTATTTAAAAATTATAAAATAATTTAGTTACTTTAATATAAAAATAAAATTTATTATTATATAATTATTTATTTATTTATTTTAATTAATTTATTAATAAAACTATTATTTGATTTTAAAATAATTTAATAATTATTTATTTTAAAATATTAAATAATTTAAAATTTTTCATATAATTTTTAATTAATATACTTAATATTTTTAATGATTTTTTTTATTATTATTTTATATTTAAAAGATAAATTTTAATTTATTATTATAATAATTAATTTTATTTTTATAATTTTATTATCAATTTTAATTTTATCAAAATTAATTTAATCGTCTATTCAATCGTATGTATGCCTATGAGACAAGACAAAAATCCGGAAGGTTCCCACTCCCCCGTCCCTAATCACTCCACGCGCACGGCCCTGATATTCTTCAACCAGGGCGCGTGCGTCAAGTTGTGACCACTTATGGTCCAGAACGCCTTCTGTCGACGCGTGTCTTCCTTGTCGTTGTCCCCGCAAGTGGCGCAGAGAGAAGCGACGTAATTTTTGGTCCCGCCCCGCACTTTTTGAGACGTTTTGCTTTCTTCTTCTTCTTGTTATCTTCAGGGGGGCCGTCACTCACCGCCTGCGGCAGGTAACAGTCACATGAAACCGAACAAAACTGAAAACTCCACTGTAAAACATCCCAACCTTTGCGGCTCTTTTCATTAAGAATCAAGTTGTCATCATTAATGGACGGTTTTTATCTTACCAAGTGCTAATTTTGTCACGCTATATTTGAGTGACGTGGAAAGCACGCTCCCAGATTTAAGCTATACCGTAGCCTGCCTACTATAAAATTACTGCAACAACAACTAGCTACTCTTTCTAGATATGATGCTGTACTTTGTCGTTGTAAGCACTCTCATACGCATGGTACGCTACGCTAATGAGTTCTTCACTTTCACTAAAAAAAAAATGACACTCCTATCACTATTAGTACTTTTCTTAAATTTTAATGGTAACATTTTTCAGTTTTAATTGTGAAACACTACTCGAAATTTGAGTTTAGATTCATACAGTATGTATGAATATGATCAAGTGTATTTGTTTACATTTCTATTTTTTTTCTTTGGTAGAAAAGGATTCTAGTTTTTTGATTCGTTTCAGAATTGATTAGTAGTTAATGTTAGATTTTGCATTCAGTAACCAAATAAAAGTATTTTATTAGTGACAAATTTGGAAATTGTTCATCAATGGTGATCAGGGTTTGGAATTGAATACTATTTTCATTTTCCATGGTTTCCGACTCCTATTGTGGCTCGATCGAGAAAAAAAAAAAATTCTGTTCTAGCTAGCTTCCCCGCATCAGCATTACTATTACTAAAAGGTAAAATTTCCCCTTCCCTTCTGTCTTGACCAAATGTTCTTCATCCCTTGGAAGCATTTCCTTTCTTTTGGGAGGAAAAAGACAGTAATCCAGTAACATAAATAACATTGTTTAAAGAAAATTGCAAGGTGATAATGACCGGATTTAGTTTAATTTTTCTGATAATATATAAACTTATAAATTTTTAAAATTCGTTTCAAATTCAAATAAAATTTTTATATGATTTGATCCAAATCAAATTATATTAGTTTGATTCATCTATTTTAAAATTTAATTTTGTTTGATTTTATATATTATTCTAATATAGTTAAATAAATTTAAATATAAATTAGTTATTTTATTTTATAAAAATTTAATATATGTATATATAAACTAATAAAAATATATATTTACAACGTACCGGGCAGATTCAACTAGGAGCCAAGTATTTCTCGATTTACATCATGGTAGGTAGTTGTAGTTATTTTATTAAACTGATTCTGCAAGCATGTACATTACAAATATTTTTTCAACAACTTTTCCTCTCAAAGTTGATAGTATATTTAATATTAATTTGATAGCTCACCCCAGAAAAAATAGTAAAATTTAGAATTTAGAATGTTTTTTAAACAAGTAGAAATTTAAGTATGAAATTGTATTAACATTTGTAAGAAAATTGATTGAGAAGTCAAAAGTCTGTTGATTGTGAAACAGTGAATAATGCTTTATCTTAAAAAAGATTGTATCTACATAGAAAAAAAAACAACGGTTCGATTGATCATATGACAAAGCAAGAATGATAAGCATATAAAAATATTTTTTAAAATTTATAAATACCTGTGCTTTTCACCCTGGTATTTTAGATTTGAAATGTTACTCCAAACTTCTAGATTT